GATAAACTGGAACTGAATAAAATGCGACTTTGTGTTAATTAGACGATAAAATTAATATAAATTTAAATCGTTTAACTTTTTTGTTATTTTATAGACGTCCATACCGAGATTCCCAAGCAAATTTTAGTTAGGGCTCTTTAGTATTCATTTTGTAAAAAAAAGTAGTGGCATTAAGCGATTAATTTCTATTTAATTTTTATCTTTCCCGCTACAATCGTTAACTTGCACCAATCCTACGCGGTGTCATCATTAAACAATCGACATATCAAAGTCAATTTTATTTTATAGCCTATAAAGTAACTATTTACGTATCAACAATGGTATTAAGTTATTAAGTTGGGTATTATATTCACCATTCAATGCAAACGATACGACAAAATCGCATTTGCAGATTACACGAATACTTTGGATGAGTGAACCTTGATGCATGCAAATAACTAAGTATTACATGACTTTTATTACAATGAAAATCATACTAGAGGATAAACGTTTTTATAACTGTTTTATTATTATAATGAAATCAATAAATTTTAGTTTAAAATACATTGAACACGTAATGCAAATAAAAATATTAGCAGTGAACTTTTTCTCAATAAACTTCGGAAGATTAACAAATATGTTGCTGTGACTTAGTATATAGTTTTACTTACTAATAAGACTTGTAATTAACAATAGCAATAAATCTAATTAAAGATCCAACAATAGTTTTGTATAAGGTATAACATACAAAAATTTCAATAACAATTTTGTTTTATATTCAATCTGTCTACCCTGTTAACGTAACTTGAAGGACGGACACAAACAATACATCGAAATAAAATCAACAAATGCAATCTTAAAATTTAAATTTAAAATTAAGTCCCTGTCTAAATGCATTCCATTCTGAGTACAATTATATCAACATCAAATTGAATAAGGAAAAAATACTCAGTTTATCAATAGAATGGTACTTGAACTGAAGAAAGATATTTGCAAGTTGCGTAAACTACTAAAACCCAAATATATTTGTATGCAAATGCAATACTTTGGTTAACTTTATTAGCACGTTTAAAGCTGGTCGTAAAACTTTTCGACTTACACTAAAAATGAGACAAAAAACTACAGCAATTACTAACGTTAACAAAAAAATTGGCGGTATTTTTAGCAAAGCTATAAAAAGTTATACCAATTTAAAAAGCTATAAAAAGCATAATTTATAGCCTACACTAGTGTCTGATTCTACTATTTTCTTTATTTCTGTCACATCTATTTGCTTTATTTTGTTTTTAATTCCACGTATTGTTGCATATCTTCATCATAGCTACTTATCGATCGTAAATAACCTCCTTATATGATTCAATACAAAAGTCGAATAAAAAATAACTAGCTGTTAAATACGATTGTAGTTTTTAAAAAGAAAAATTCCTCGACCCTTTATTATGAGTTTAATTACAAAATGTTGGACAGTAATGGAATAAACAGTGAGATATTAACCAATTAAAATGGAAGTGGCACTAAAGGTCATCGTTCACAGGGCGAGTTGACGTTGTTATGAAAGGAAATGACAATCTGGAGTCGTCTGGCAACTGGAATGTTTAAATAATGCATAAATTTCAATTTTATAGCCGTTTCTGCTAAATTTTATGGCCATAAACTATCATATTTCTTGTAATACCGTTTGCCACAAAATTACTGTTTGACTCGATTTTAAATGATTTCAAAAATAGAACACGTAAACGGGCTTCGTAACTTTTAACAAGGGCATTCGACCAGCCATGATAGGTGACGTCTTGAAGTTAGCCACGGGTTTAAACAAAATGGAAGGAAGGGCAACACATAAAATGGTTTCGCGGTTAAACTGAAGTTCAAGATATTCCATTATGCCCTTATTTTCTAACATTACCAATTAAATTCCAGTCATATAGAAACATATGTAAAAAAGACTGATTTTAAATCAAGCCATCACCAATAAATATCATATTACGATTAAAAATTCATGATAATCGTTTTCCATTGGATAGTAAATTTCCAATTCCAAGACATAAAATTCTCCTTCGATTAACATATTTATATTTTAGAATTGATCATAATTTGCTACATTTGCATCTTCAAAATGTGTTAAATAGCAAAAATAACTGTCAATTATTGATTTATATTTATTAATTGACAGTTATGTTTGTACCGTATCTGATTTTCTTAGGGTTCCGTCCAAATTAATTACTAGATACTTATTATACGTGTTTTGTATTTGTTGATGTTTGGTTTACAGCCCCCTGGTTAAGGTTTTGTTAAAATTTTTAATTACCAATTATATTAAACTGTAATTAAAACATGTAAATTATCTAATTAGTGTGTCTATTTGTGTTGTTATATTTTATTGCCTCGATTGATATCAGCTACCGGTCATTTATCAATCACTCTTGATTCCGTCTATCTAGTTAGCTGCTATTCATATTTTTAATCCTGTTTTTTATACTAACAATTATCTTCAACCTTGACGTTGGCGAAATCGACAAAATAACGATAGGGTCCACTATTCATTAAAAGAAGAAGATAATAAAGTGTTTCTGTTTCAGATGGAGATCAGAAGATATAAAGGCAGTGGCGCTTCGTTTCTTACGTACTGGATATTTTTATTACAAGTAAGTAAATAACGACTTAGTTTTACATACATTAAGAGCACACAACATTGACTAACAACTTTTTAGTCGCGATATAATGAGCTTATGGAGGTGTGCGCACTATACTTGATTTGTGCAACTAAACAGTTGGATTGGCTGCGAAACAATCGACAAACACACAACAGTTGTGCGATAGTTTAATCGATTAATTACATAAGGTGTAATTAATAGTTAAACTTCCCTTAATCATGGATTGTAACGTAAGTACCTGAACTCCTATAATTCTTTTTTAAATTCCAGATGTTAGGCAGTACACGTCGTGGGGCGGAGGGTCACGGCAGACTGATGGATCCGCCAGCACGCAATTCCATGTGGCGGTTTGGTTTCCCCAATCCTGTCAATTATAATGACAATGAACTCTTCTGCGGCGGGTATGCCGGTCAGTTTCTCATTTGTTATTTATCCGACTCGAAGGACCATTTTGTTACAAATTCATTTGACGATTTATCGTGTATGATGTGCCTCTAAGAACTAAAAACAAATTACTTTGTTTAAAGTTCAGAGTAATATATCTAAGAAATGCATTTCTGTGTAATGATTGAATAGCTTTAAATAATTTTTAATAGTTTTCTCAGAGTGTTTTCGTCTATTTGTTTATTCTCGGAGCGATATCCTCTTAAAGAGAACGCATGCGCAAATATTTTTGTTCTTTCCTGATTAAACTAATGACTCGTGAGGCCTTGCGGTTAAATAATGTAGGTAAAGTTTATTGAACTCGCTAACACAACAAAAGTTCGCGATGTTCTGGTATTGATCCATACAAGTTTTTTTTTATTCCCAGATCTTGTAATCGCTATTTTTTATTATGATTCGTACTACTTGATTTGTACTTATATCGTCGCTATGTAAGGATAGGGTTTTTCAATAAATCTCTACTGATATTACAGAGTTTTTTTTTTATTTTTATGTATTGAAATAAGTTAAAAACTACTTGGTCGATTTCGAAAATTCTTTCATCAATAAATAGGTACAAACGCGAGCAACAGCTAGTCTTTAACACACTGTATTTATTGTTTGTGCTTGTTACTGAGAGGGTGTGCGTTCAGTTCAGTGGGAGCAGAACGGCGGGAAGTGCGGTGTGTGCGGGGACGCGGAGCACCTAACCGAGCCGCGGCCGCACGAGGCCGGCGGCATGTTTGGGAAAGGTATCATTACACGACACTACAGCGTCGGACAGGTGAGCAAAAATAAGTGAACGAACTACGTAAAAATGTCTAAGGGATACTCTTAAATTTAAAAGACAACATTCTACACGTCAACAATACTTGTACGTTAACACGTTCAATGCGAACCAGCTCTAAAAAACCTGATACTCTTTACAGTGCCAATAAGAAATATATGTAGAAATATATGTACAGGTGTGCTATACCAGGTACCGCAGGAACGGAAAAATAGAAAAATCTCTACGGCTTTAAACGTGTTAAGCCCTAATTTAACGGCTCGAAGGACCATTAATGATCCAGCATGTACAAGGATCTGAGTCAGTCAACACTATTACTAAAGCACTTTGAGGGGAGCCTTAGAATGTTAAATATGTAAAAAAAAGTCCATGATTCGTAATAATTGGTAATGATAAATGTGTGTCTGGTAATTAAAAAAAATAACCTAAACAGAGATTATGTTTTCGCAAAAAGAGGGATCATTGACCCTAATCACAACTTTGTTAATTAAGCTATAGCGGTTTGGATCTATAGAAGTTTATAATTCTTTAATTACATTAATTACAGGAAATCGAAATAGAAATAGAACTGACGGCCAATCACCTCGGCACATTCATAATGAAGCTGTGCCCGAACAACAATCCTAAACAAGAAGCGACACAAGAATGCTTCGACAGGTTATATTCACGTTTTAATTGTAATAGCTACAAAAATCTATCATAATTATTAAATGGTTTAATTAAGAAAATAAACCAAAGTATTATTAAGTATAAAATAATCAGAACAGTTACAAGGTACAACCATACTTAGTTACCTTCTCTGAAAATGTATTGAAATCTTCACAGTAAAAAACTATGACTGATCTATCGCACAACTGTTTAGTTGCACTTTGATTCGCTTGAATGGAGGTGCACACACTACTCGATTGTTAGTTGTGCAACTAGACAGTTGAATTGGCCGAAAAACAATCGTCTATAGAGACGATATCAAATTATTTTATCAAAAGGCTTTTAGCATCTCAACTATACAGGATGTTTAACAAATCTTCAATAAAAACTTGTCTTAACACAGTCTTTGATCATTGCAGATACCCTCTGTACATATCTGGTACACGCGAGGACCGCTTTCTGATCCCTTTGGACACCGCCAAGAAGGATACGTTCCGGTACCGTGTGCGGCTGCCGCCATACGTCACCTGCACGCAATGCGTACTGCAGTGGACATACCATACTGGTACACAACAATCACACTAACCGCTGCACTAATGATTAAACGACAAATAAAAAAAAATCTTGGATGTATTACGCTATTTGGAACACTATATGTGAATTTAATCATCCAAGCATGATTGTCGAGAAAATAACCATTCTCAACTTAACAGTGGTAGTGCCCGCTTTAACATCTTAGCACGAATGGGCCGGCACGCTCGGTGTAATACCACGACCACACAGAAGACAGACGTGAAATGGAAGCAATTCCGTGTTTCGTCTGATGAGTGTGGTGCCGGAGGCCTAATTTAAGTCCCTTTCTCTTTACCATCCTTTTCTTATAAGGAGAGGTTGGGAAGGGGAAGTGGATCTGACGGTGGAGGAGATGCATAGGAAGGGGAAATATCCTCTTTATGTGCGTCTCCTCCTCCGTCGTATAAGGGTAGGCAACGCATCTGCAATTGCGGATGTCTATGGGCAGCGGTCGCCTCGCCATTTTGGCGGATTCTAGTGGCCGCTTGCTCGTTTGCCACCTTATGTTATAAAAAAAAAAAAATGTCTTCCACTGGTTTTAACGTTTTTTACTTTTCTAGTCTGACGGGTAATCCAGCGGGAAGAGGAAATTATTTGGATTAATTTGTTTCTTATTAATAACTTGTAGGTAACATGTGGGGTATCTGTCCGAACGGCACGGAAGCGGTTGGATGCGGTCGTTCAGAGACGTTTAGGAATTGTGCCGACGTCAGCGTCATCACGAGTACCGGAGGTCTCCCTCCTGCTTTCGCTGGAGACCTGAGGAGAGACAATCCCTTCCTCCTCTACTACAGGGACTACCATATGCCGCAGAATGTCTTCCCCTTGGTCGTCAGGTGAGAGACTGAAATGTGTATAGTTTGTGTTATGTTATGAACTTCTTTCAACTCTTTAGATTTTTCTGAGTGTTTTGATGTTTTTTAAACATTTTTGATGTTTTAGATGTATGTGCTCCTTCATACATATTTATGAGTCGTTATATTTTCTTATGCGTATCGTCTTTCAATCCATCCATACTCTCTTCAGTCTTCCTCTACCTTTACAAACATCCAATATTAACAACATATCGGTCACAAATATTTCTGCTTATTTACGACAATAAAAGACAAATGTAACTATTCTGGTTTGCAAGTCACAATTTCTATTGATTGTTTTGTATTATTTATTAAATAATTTATGTATCTTTTATCTGTTTAAATAAAACTATTTATCGTGTTATATTATTAACTTATGTATGCTATATATTATAAGTTACACATATATCATATTTACGCTTAATATTTCAGAGATTTACGAAAGGATTACAAAAAGGCACCGTTACGTGTGATTAGGTAAAATGTAATCAAATGCTATAACAACTATATGTGGACAAGTGTATAACCAGCACTGTAAAATATGATCAATTTTCTTTCAGCAACGATATTGACAGTCCGACGGAGGAGGACTTATACATTGGTCCGCCAATTATTAGGTATATTTCAGTTTATTCGGTGATTGTGGGTGCCTGCCTACCCACTTGGTGTCGGAGTACTTTGTATCTAGTACGGAATGTCTGTTGTGAATAAAACCTCCTTTTGTCCGTTTTGTACTTACAAAATGTCTCTCGTGTATACAAATGTGACTAACCGTGAATGTTTTGTATTGTGAGTTTACACTGTTACAACACGAAAACTTATTGTCATCCCACTTATAAACTTTAAAAGAATAGAGTATGAGAGAGAGAGACATATGTTTTTGTGGGTGTCGGCTGTGGTAACTCATAATGTATATTGTCCTACTCACAATGTACAGAAGCTTCGTTGTAAAAAATATTAACACGTGTATTATATTAAAATATAATTAAGTAGTAATCGTTAATAAAATAAGAAACGTAGCTTTAAATTTGCCAATATGTGTATCCGATCGCGATAGTTCTTTTTTTTTTAAATGAGCTACTTTAAAGAGTCTCTCAGCCAATGATTTTCTTATGTAACATGTTATTTACAAAACGTTGGTCGTTAAAATATAAAAATGTAATATTTCAGGTCTTTTTCAGGTTAAATATGGTTACGGATAAGCAATAAGATGTAAAAATAAAAATATTTATATAACAATTAACAAGAAAAAAATCTTTTAATTTAATTGTGTTAATCCACAGAGACCAAGTGTGCGTACCATCTGATGGATTCCGAGTCATCCCTGGAATGCTGAACTGGTGCCAGACCAACTGTCTGCGGTACCCACCCAACTGTCCTGATTCTCTGTGCCAGTGCCCGTATGTATACTGTATATCTCATAAACAGTCTTTGTCTCAACAAGCCGTTTATTCAGATCCCAAAGCACAACTAAAATAGATGACTGACATGATGGAATTATTAATTACGGGCTAACAAATATTTGTGCAACTAATTGTTATGCATTTTTGTTTACAGACAAGTATGTGAAGCGATAGGTGAATTGGAAGGACGCGATGGCGCCGATGTTTACTGCATGGACCTCTGCATTGTCTACCCTCCGAAGTGCCCCAAGCATAGATGTCGCTGCTACTAGAATCGCGCGTTCTCTGCGTCACAGATTATGTAAAATGTTACCATTACAAAAAAATTACGTAAAAAAATCTATTTTTATTATCTGTCACTTATTCTTTAGCGCATAGAAGGTTGAAATTAATGAAAACTCGATCAGAAATCTTTTAGAGATAAATGGTTTTTAAAATAATGATCTTTAATTATTTTAGCTTTTACACAATCAAAATTTATTGCAGTATTTTTTATGATGAACGATATCCGTTAATAAATGATTAAATAACAGTTAAAATAATTCAAAAAACAAAATGCACTGAAGTAACTTTTTTATCTCAAATTAACTTCTTGTATAAGACTCGACCCAATTTAAATTGCATTATTAAATTAAAATTGCGTTGCAATTAAATTGCAATCATTACAAAAAGGCACTTTAATTAAATAATTGTTCCATCGGTATAGTTTTGTGGCAAGTAAAAAAAGAAACAAAACCCTATCTCAATTTTATTCAAGCAATTTTAAAAATATGACAGCATATTATTTTTATTATTGTACATTTGTATATATTATTAATAATTTCTGTTTTAAATTTTATTTATAAGTGGAAACATCATACTCAAATTCTTCGTAGGTCTATAAAGTCCTGTTTGCCATGAAGTAAACAGCGCCAGATTATGTAGTGTTAAATATTTTGTAAAATAAATAAAATATTATCAGGAAATGTGTTTCTTTGGTTAATTTTAATTGAACAAGTTCTTACTACTCTTTTTTTTTTTAATAAAAAAATATTTTGGAGGCGCCGGGTATCGATCCCGGTACCTCTCGCATGCTAAGCGAGCGCTCTACCATCTGAGCTACGCCCCCTGATACAAAATAAACTAAAACAAACATTAAATACTGCCGTCTACGCATTTTGAATCCAAGATCACGTTTACTTTCACTTATTGCGTGATCTAAATACCGCGTATGATAAATTGTACAAGACACATACACCTTTAAGTCAAGCGAACAAGGTTGTATTTAATGTCCACAATAAACTAAAACTCGTCCCGAAATATAAATTGTTAATTTTAAAATCTTTTCATGTCGGGGGCGTAGCTCAGATGGTAGAGCGCTCGCTTAGCATGCGAGAGGTACCGGGATCGATACCCGGCGCCTCCAAAATCACTATTTTGTTGTTTGGAATTAAATTTAACAAAGTGACAAAAACTTGAAAAAAAAATGATTCTTTAACTCTACTCCAATTGCATAGATCACAAAAATACAAAACAAAGAATAAGGTCAAATAAAATTAGAAGTACAAATAACGGCCGAACAACATCAGCTTTTGTCTTTTACGTCACCGAGAAATTAAAAAAAATAAGAGCGGGAAAAATTATTTTACACATTGCTACAAATTCTATGACATTTTAAAGTAAAAAAATTAAGTGAATGTAATTTTAATTATTATTTGAAATTTTGAGTGTTTAATATTAACATGCCACGAAATAAGTGTAGCAAAGTCGATAAAGACAAAATTCTACTTGTATGTGAATTAAATTTAACAATTAAAATTTCAATCCTTGTGTCACCATATAATTATTGAGATTTTTCTTATTTCATGCTGTATCTCACAACTTTGATTTCAGATGAATACTATAAAGTCTAGATTAATAAAAATCAGTATGACAGTCGATAACTATATTTACAAACAAAAGACGGTTAGTATCACACAGGCGAAAACTTACCTCGATGAAATATCTTCTTATGAGCCCCAGTGTGATGGGAATGCCCAATATCTTCAGGTATTTTTACATATTCTTTTCAGCTAAAATAAGCTGTTATTTCGTTAGCTTGACATTTTATCGACTTTCGAAGCGATCTCAAAGGTCTAAGGAAGATCTCTAAGTGGTAAAATAAAGGTACAATCAATAGTGCTTTTTTGTTCTGATTTAAACCGAATATTAAGCTTTGAATTGGAAGTACCAGTACGTTTGTATGATTCTTGTTTTGTCAGGTGTCATATTTCTGATAAATTACCATTTTATTTTATGTTGTTTTTGAAAAAACTGGATCTCTTTGCAATTTGGATTATACTCCGTTAGATGAGTTAACATAATACTTTTATTCTTTACCGAAATGGTTTGTATTTTTAAGGTAATAGAAAAACTGACAAGATTTATGAATTCTATAATATCTGATAAAGATTCTATTATAGACAATAGTATTAACGACAAAGTTCATAATAGTATAGAAGTGGAAACTACGGATAATAAAGAACATGAAATTAATACTACGTTACCTATTTCTGAAGTGTCTAATAAAAAAGATAGAAACGAATACTCAATTCCCAACGAAAATCAATGTGATTTAACGCATTTGAGTAAAAAGGGTACCGAGGATTTACCATATTCTAACAGAAACGTAAACATGGAAGTAGGAGATATGATTATACCTGAACATGCAAACACTAACATTCATAACTCACAAACTTCAACTCGAGATATATTAATTAATGCAGTTAAAACTTTAGAAATAACCTCTACCGGACCTTTAGATTTAAGAAAGTCAGTTTACAATAAATCATTTATTTATAGTCAAGGGCAAATTATTTCAAACAAAACGACGCTAAAACCCGTTGTAAAAGCCGATAAACCGGAAAGAGTTAGTAAGTGCGACGTTTTACAGAAATTCAATCAGCTAAAGATTAATAAAGCAGCTTATATACAAGACGAACCTAACAATAAAGACAAATATAATAAATCTATGAATAATGAATATGTTAATTCAAAAACAAATATAAGGATTTTACAAGATCAGCCATTGAAAACTCAAGTTGGTACAAATGTAGAATATATCCAGCCTAGTGATTTTAACATAATATTAAAGCCTCAAAACAAAACGGCTGAAAGTTCCAAAAACGACGCAACATTTATTGCTGAAGGGAAACCAAAAGAAACAGCACATAAACTTGAAACAAAACCTGACATATCTATTCAATATTGTACACATAATGTAATAACAAAAAATAAAAATAATGCAGATGAAAGAAAGAATCTGCCTGAGAAACCAAAGAATAAACGAAAGACTAACAAACAATCAGAGGTTAAGGAAAAAACAATAAAAACTGTAGAAAACAACGCCAAAAAAGTAAAGAGAGTAAATAAAAGTTGCGAAACAACGAAAGCTAAGAAATCAAAATCTAAACAAAATGTAAAAAACAATATAAACATTGATTTATCTTGGTTTGATAATATCAAATTCATACGACAAGTCGACGAGAATGAATATTTCAAAATAAAACATTCAAATCGTTTTTAGACATAACCTCAAAATCTAACCTAAAATGTTGCAATAAAGGAAATAAAACATTACCAAATAAATGTTGTAAATATTTAATTATGACTGAAAACAAGCGAATTAACAATTCACAAATAACATATCCACATTACTCTTTATTACTATATTTTATTTATACAAAGTAAAACATGGAAATGTAGGCCTTTAAAATTGATTTCATATGGGAAAACACTAAATTCAAACACTTTAATTTAACAAGACTATATTAAAATGTACATAACATATTACGATGGCGTCATGTAACAATTTTAACTTATATATACTTTATATGTTAATAATTGGTATGGCAACATTTCAAAGCGACAGAAGACAATATTCAGAGACTAAATTATTATTTAAAAGTGACAAACAGTATAATATATTCTTTATAATCGGTAAATATATTATAATTTATGAAACATTATGATTTGTGTTCTTAAAAACCGTTTTTTTAACTGGCAAGACTTAAATTTTAACATAGTGAGCATTTTTATCACGATTTTAATATATTTGGATATCACAAATAAATAATACTGGTACAGAAGGTTATTTTTTTACTGTAAACTACTATTTCTATACCGTAGGTAAAATAATTAGTCAATAGATATGTAGAAAAAAGAACTTGACAACTTATACTGAACTATTAAGTTATAGTTTTTTTTAAGTTATTTCAATATAAATGCAATAAATGTCATATATCTCGTCTCAACATCACTACAGGACCCTTTAGTCCGTTATATACTAGTCTTGGGCTTAATCGGATATCTGCAACTGCGCACCGTACTAGCACAATTGTGAAAACGTACTAGTACACACGTTTTGTACCTTTAGTACTTCAGATTTTAGGCATAGTCAAACATATGTTATTAGCAAAAAAAAAATAGTTATAAATAATTTATCGACTTTTGATTCTCATTACCGAAGGTGGATGCTTCAATCTAGCAAATATAAAATCAAATCCTTTTATCCAACGTTACTTTTAGTACAGTGCCTAGTAACATTACTTATTAGTACGTGTACTACCCAAGACTATTATATACGCTCAGTTCTAACTGACAACAAACTGACAAACTAACCAGTTCGATTGTTCACTTGAAACTGAACATGTAACAGGCTTTAGGGAAAGTCAACAAGTTTGTTTTATAACAAAAATGTTTTTCCACTATCCCTATCTAAAATTCAATATTATTTTTTTTAATTATCTTTCCTTTACTCTTCCTAAAAGTTCAAATTCAACACACAAACGTTAACAAACAATGATTTAACGTTGACAAATTTACAATAAAATATAACAATATAATATTTTTAATACGAAAGCGAAGCTATAACATGATCAGTTCACTCATTTGGGGTGTGTTCAAAATAAATATATATATTTAATCTATACTAAATTATAAATGAAACATATGTATTTTTGTACATATTAAAATAACTCAAAAACTACTGATCCGATTTCAAAAATTCTTTCACCAATAAATAGTTAAATTGTCAATGAGTAAAACAGGATTATGTTTGTTTTCTGCACGGACGAAGACTCGAGCAACAGCTACTTCAAAACTATTCATAAAACAATGATTTACAACTATAATAAATATGTACATTATTAAATTACGTCTTGTTTTCTCTACTGATATGAGAATTGCCCTATATTCTTACTAGGTAAGAATTTTACTCCATCATCATCATCACCAGGTCACTATACCCCCACTGAGGGGCTCGCAGCCTACCCTAAGTTAGGGTGACTAGGCCATAGTCAACCACGCTGGCCCACTGCGGTTTGGTTCACTTCACACATAGGTTTTGAATTTCTTTGCCGATATATTTACTACATAACACGTAATCAAGGGTGGATCCAGCTTTGGCACAAGGGGGGGGGGGGATCACATAGTCGTGGTCAAGTCAAGAGCTTGACAAAATATGTAAATATATTTTGTCAAACTCTTTACCAATCAGCTCAGGGGGGGGGTCATGACCCCCCCCTCCCTCAATCCGCCCTTGCAGGTAACTAAATAAATAGATTTTCAAGGTCACAGTGACCTTTTAAAATAAAAATTAATATAAATACATTGTCCTTACAAAGTATAAGAAACACATGTTAAGTAATGCTTTGTAATACTTACATTTCTTAAGTACAGATGTGTTTAAATATACTTTAAGGTAGTGAAAACAAATCACATAGAGGAATAATATTTACATAGTACGCCGTAAGCGACATAACCTAGATTGTTATGTGAAATCCCTTACATAAGATAATAACAGTCTATATAACAACCTATTCGCAGATTATTACGTTTTCAATATTATAATCGACGTCAAAATAAAATACTACAATTTTAAAATTCCTATTTCTCTGAAACTGATTACCTAAACAATGATTTATGGTTTACATTTGTTTCTTTCAAGCTTAGTTTTTACCTTTTTTCTACCGTTAATATTACTATAAGCAATACCGATTTGTAAAGCTAATAAAATTATCTACAAAAGTATTTAATTTCGTATATCTGAATATAATAAATTAACAGATATTACTAAAAAAAACTCCACCACAAATGAGTGATAACTGAACAAGTAAATATTACACTTCAAAACATAATTACATCTAAAACTTAAATATATAATTTCAAATCTCTATATGTACTTTTAATAACAATGAAAAAGCTATTAATATGGGAAAAACTTGAACTACATTTAGACATCAATAATTGATCATACTGAGTTCCCACTGGCAAAACATTCACATAAAAATATGTTAGGAGTCATCCAATAATTTAAATAAACTCCCCTCCCGTCCTTGTGATTTTTCTCCTCGGAGGATCCCTTATCAAACATGTTTTTATAAATCCTGCTTATCACTCACAGGATATACATAATACCAACATACAAGAAAACAAAACTAGCGTTAATCTATATTACATAAGTGCCAATTGTTATTAAAAACTAAACTTCCCCCGCACTTTGAAGAAACCCAGACTTATCTTGTTATGTAACAGCGAGGTGACACCTAAATAACTCTGGATTACTATCGGAGAGTGGTGAATACAGCAGGCAGATGATGTCATCGCTTCTATTGCTCGCTGCAACTTTTGTGCAAATGTCTCCATATCATACATAGCTCTCTCTTCTAGAGTACCATCTGGAATATACATTTAAAATATTTAGTGCATGCACACAACTAAATTATCGCACAACTGTTTAGTTTCCTCCTATGAGCTATGGAGGTGCGCACACTACTCAATTTTTAGTAAACAGTTGAATTTGATCCGAAACAATCGACAATCGCACACATTTGTGCGATAATTTAGTCAAAGGTGTGCGTCTGCTCTTACTAAAAAGCGATAACACATATAAAAAAATAAATAAACCATAGACTAAATTTTGGAAATAATCCTTAAAAATCAAGTGAAATCATAATTTATAAAAATGGTATAGTGTCATGGCTATTAATGGAAACTGACATTTAAAAAATAAAACACTTCATTTGAATTGTGTAGGACCCATATTAAAAACAGATAATGTAACAGTAGCTATTTCTAAAATAAATAAAAATAAACAACTTCTAGACGCTACATTAAATAATTAAATCTAACCTCTCTCTTGGTCCGATGAAAATAAATCTTTCATTCCTTCGTTGTCTGCAAATTTTAATTTATAGACATATTATAAATCTTCAGTAAATTATGTAAAATTATTGATCTATTGTCTGGTCGGATAAAAAGTGGCAAAATTTACAAAAGGTGTCATATTAATGACATTAATACAATGTCACCTGATTTTTTTTTGTACGAAATATCTCACCTTTATGCCAAAATATTGGATGTGATGCAAAAGTGATAAATGGCACATCTTGGCTGAAAGGATTCCACGCAGTTTTGAGAGACAGCGGCTCTCCCTTGTTCCACATTAGTCTCACTCCGCGAAGATTTCGTTCCCTGTAATTATTTCAATAAAAATTTTAATTAGGAAAATTTATTTACCTTAAACAGAAATTCCATACACCAACTTTTTATAATAGTATAAAAAAAGTAATTAATATAATGAATTGATTATTTTTATATAATACAAATTAGGAATAGACATTTCAAAGCCATGCAGTTTCTCATTAAAAATCAACCCAGAGCACCTAAGTTCAGAGCATTCTCACATAAATTTTTGTTTGCAGTATTTACAATAAACCCCCTATAACGCATTCCTACATGCGATCCCCGTTGTAGAAATCACCAGTACAACACGTTTTTCAACTGGGCAAAATCTAAAATCGCTTTATAGGGGGATTTAAAAAAATTCGTTGTGAAAATCTGAGTTATATATGGTAATTTCCTCGTTATAGAGGGTACGGAGATCGTGTTATAAGGGGGTTCAGAGTATTGTGTTAAGAAATTGTTTTTATTAAAGTGACAATATCTATGATAAGATAATGGTCATAATCTCTAAGATTTTTTTTGTAAATCTGTTATATAAATTGATACATTTATGGAACTAAAAATGCTATATTTGCTAATCCATTATTTCTTTTGCAATTCAACACAATATTAAAACTTTTTACATATATTAGTTAAATGATTTAAATATTGATTTCTAAATTAAAATAGTCCCAATAAGTGAAATTAATCTATTTTAAAATAATAAGAAACCATGACATAATTGCAATTAAAAAATGTAAATGTTGTATATTAAAAAGCAGCATTATTAAGCTTAAAAAGCTGCCGAGCTTAATGCATCTAATCTACACATGAAAGCTAGCAAACAATTCCGCCACATATTTGCGACTACAGCAAATCAAAGTACCTAGGTTCAAAATACTTGGGATCGAACAATTTTGCCTCCTCATTGGCCGTTGGTCGTCTGCAGAGGCGGTCTATGACGCAGTCTTTGACAACAGTAGTAACACCTGTTGCGATGCCATTTAAACGACTGTTGGGCCATAATATGTAAATCTTGTTTGTATTAAGAAATTATCAATATACCATTTTAAGGTTATAAAAAAGGGAGTTAACGATAATTAGATTTGTTTACTTTTTACGATGTTTTATCTATTATTATTTAGTTAAATTTTCATTGATGTAAATATATATTAATATACTAGATTTGGCCCGCGATTCCGTCAGCATGGAATTTAAAAAAAAAAAGAACAAGTTGCTTATGTGTTCTTTCAGACTCTCCTCTACATCTATGCCAAATTTCATAGAGATCCATTTAGCCATTTAGGCTACAAACTCTCACACATCCATCCATCTAAACTTTGACATTTATAATATTAGTAAGATATAGAATTGTAATTTGTAGACTTGGTTCCTCTTTCTCTTTTGATATCCACTTTCTGGACTATGAATTCAATAATTTATTAACAAATATAAATTTAATATTTATAAAAACAACAGATGTTAATAACTTACGGCACTAAAGATGAAGGTGGGTACACCAACTCCCCTATCACAATTGTGTCCAAATCATCTAGATAAGTCTTTTTAAAATCCAACTGCTTCATTGCAATAAAATCATATTTAATTGTCATAACCAGCCTTGATGTCAGGAGAACAATTCTTTCTTTCTCATTATCCCATAATGTTATCCTGAAAAGAGTACAGTTCAGTACAGTAAGCTGCAAAAGTATTAATACATTTGCAACCTTGTATACGTTGTTGGTTTCAAAAATGTGTTTCCATATATTCATAATTGGCAGCATAGAAATATGTGCCAACACATTTTTGATACTAAACCTGTATACAAATGTCTCAAGCCAATGTACACCTCGTTATTTTTTGTTAACGTTACCCAATTATGTTATTACTTTTTAAGTAAATTGTTAGAACAGTGAAACATGAAATATAGAAATTTAGTAAATAATAAAATTTCTTGAATTATAAATTAAGGTACAGTCAGCGGAAGTCAGCCAATTGATATAATGTGACCATGATGCTTCTGAATATTAAGGATATGGGTACTTTCCCTATTACATCATTATTAAATTAAGCACTGCAATAAACCAATTTATTATTAGTCTATGTATAAAGTTTACATACTCTGTAAGTAACCAAGATCCTAAGTATTCCCCATCTTCAGGGAATAGCAACGCTGTAATGCACTCTTGGATTGCATTCTCCACAACACCTTTACGGAATGTAAAAAAATCCTTTATATTTTCTCTATTGAATGGCACATCATAACGCGGGTACACAGTCCTTTCTGGTTCTGCTGCATTTCTTGGCTCTGGATTTGATATACCCTCTGCTCTAGCATCTATGGAATAAAACAATGACGTCTGTTATGATAAGCATGACCTATGAAATGTAAAGGTAAATGTATTTGTGGACGTTTCACATCAAAGGAACGATTCCTTTTTTTGATTGTTTAATATCATTCCACTTTTAGTGTGAAAACTGTGAAAAAAGTTTTTTTTTTAACTTATGGTGTCTAAGAAAAGAAAATAGCTGGCGTGTTTACCTCTACCTGCAAACGAAGACGTTGATGATGAAAGTGAATCAGCACCCGACAGAACAGAAGGATTCGCGTTTAACTGATTTTTATTCTTATTGGAACTTTTAGAATCTGACGCATTATCAACTCGATTATCCGCATTAGCATTGTCCGATGTTAATTGTAATGTACCAACACGTAGTTCTAAATCATCGTCCAATATATCACTCATATTGTAATTTGCGCAAAGAATTCTAAGTATTTTTAATAACTTTGGGATATTTTATGTCGCTTCGCGAAAAGCGTAAATAATCGACCGGCTGATAATAAATAAACGTCAAATATCTGTGTTGCTATTTGCGAAAAATTAAAATAAAACCTTTTGTCCTGCACACTTTTTGGTAAGAACTAAACATGAAAAATAGAATCAGAATTGTGATTTAAACTTATTTTCATATTCTTATTAGAATTTCACTCCCAAACACAACTGAAAAATTATTTTGTCTTCTGACATTGGACGTCTTATTATGAAAACTAAAAACACCAAGCAAAGTCAAAGACAAAAGTTCTGTTGTAAGTGAAACCTATTTGGTGTTTTGCAGTGTAAG